CTCAGGCCTTAAACACTAATGCATGTATTGCTATGAAGAGATTTTTGCGGAAGTCCATAATTGATTTTAAAATAGATTATCTGAGTGGCTCTGATATCACTCCAAGAGCCATTTAAAAGAAAAGAATTTTCTTGGGCTGTTCACAGAAGAACAGCGTGAAAGGGATTTGATAGGAGGGAGGTTGTTCACATTTGAAATGGAGGGGGCCACAGGACAAAGCCCCAGGAGCAACTCTTTTGGCTGACAGCCCCCAGAAAGCCAGGCACTTTAGTCCTACAACCTAAGAAACTGAATTCTACCCAGAATTAATTTGGAAATGCAGTTTTCCCCAGGACCTCCTGATAAGCACTTAGCCTACACAACATCTTGATTTCGGCTTATAATACTCTGAGCAGAAAATCCAGGTACACAGTGCCAGACTTCTGAAATACAAAACTGTGAGCTCATAAATGGGTGGTTTTAATATGCTAAATTTGTAGCAAGTTGTTATACAACAGTAGAAAAAAATATATAGGCATACTGGTAAGTACAATAAATATAAACCAAACTATTAATTTGGCATAACTTATAATACCAAAAAACTTAAAAAATCTAGTGTCTTCCAACAGATGACTGGTGAATAAAAACACAACACATCCACACAACAGTATACCATCCATTTGTAAAAAAGGGTTAAGGGCAGAGTTCTATATACTGGTGTGCAGTAATCTCAAAGGCACAGAATTAAAAGAAAAATGCAGGGGTGCCTGGGTGGCTCAGTCAGTATGCCTTCATCTCAGGTCCTGATCCCAGAGCCCTGAGATGCTGCCCACCTCATGCCCTCTCTCTCTCTCAAACAAATAAAATATTTTTTTTAAAATAAGAGAAAATGCAGAGACAGGACAGTGTTTAAAGCATACTATCTTTTGCTTAAGTCTGAAGGGAAAAAATATATATACTTTTTTAAAGTAAAAGTTGTAAAGTAACAGTTGAAGGATAAACCAAAAACTAACAAAAAGTGTTAGCTATAAGGGAATGTTATAAAAAAGAACTTTGTGCAATGATGGAAATATTCTCCGTCTGTGTTAGCTAACATAGTAGCCATTGCCCACCTACGGTTAACGGGCACTTGAAAACTTGAAATGTGGATAGTACTTAAAGTAAAGAAATTTTGAATTTTATTTCGTTGTCATTGATTTAAATTTAAATAACTACATGGAGCTAGCGGATATTATATTGAAGATCAAAACATACATACTCAGAGAAAGGACAAAGGGAGATTAATATGCAAGCACATTCTGTGAATATACCTTGTTACATACTGGAGTCACTTTTTTTTTTAAGATTTTTATTTATTTCTCTGACAGAGAGAGATCACAAGTAGGCAGAGCAGCAGGCAGAGAGAGGGGGGGAAGCAGGCTTCCTGCTGAGCAGAGAGCCCAATTCGGGGCTTGATTCCAGGACCCTGAAATCATGACCTGAGCCGAAGGCAGAGGCTTAACCCACTGAGCCATCCAGGTGCCCCTGGAGTCACACATTTTAAAAGAACATTAATCATGTAATAATTGAAAAGACAAAATTAATACAAAAGGTAAAACAACCTCTCAATTTAGAACATTCTAAAACAAATCTATCAAGTTAGTGGCATAACCAGGCAGAACGAGATTTACTTACTTCAAGTAACTTTTTAAAACACAGTATTTTGATTGTAAATCACTAGTGGCATACATCCTAAGAACAAAACTAACTGAAATGAAATATCAATATGCACACATTAATCTTATTTTATTCTGAAACTATTGTATGTACATTGTACAATAAAAGCAAGTGAGTAGTTTTGTTTATGTCATTAGCAACCAAGTTTTCTGTGAAAGAGAAAGATACAAGAAAAAATACAATATAGGCTCATGATGAATTTCTCTTAAAAAAAAAAAATGCTCTCCTTAGCTGTCTACTGAAATGGCTAGAAATAATGACAACCCTAAACAAGGAACATTTCTAGCGTCTAGGTTATAATTTCTAAATAACAATTATAATTTCTAAATAACCGAGCCAGAAAATGTATACAATGAACCTGGAACATCTTACATGAGAAAGAAATATATCAAACAGAAATAATTACATGCGAAAAGGACTCCATAGCCAAGGAATATCTTGATTATCAAAAGCAATAATGATTAACCACACTGGATTGAAACATATACACATACAAATTAGAAGCTCATAATGATAATAATAATAAAACATCACTTTTGTGAGATTACTAGACCAATTCACTACTCTGAGGATTTATAAATAGTCAAGTATTTATTCTGCCATTCCTGAAAAAAAGTTTTTCAGGATTTCTATTATTAAGTAATTCCAGTCAAGGACAAAAATAATGCCAGAACTAGAATCACCATTTCACATCTCCTAGTGAAACAGTGAATAAATGCAACCCAGGACAAATAACCCAGTTTTTCCAATAAATCAATGACACGGAAACAAAGAAAGAACTGTTTTAGAAAAAAGACATAAAAGACATAATGACTGAATGAAACGTATGGACCTTCTTTGGATCATGACTCAACCAACTATTAAAAAAAAAAAAGACATCTTAAGAAAAAGAAAACTTCTATATAGACCACATATTAAATTTTTATGGGATTATAGCCAATATTTCAGATATGATTAAAGCCACAGATATTTACAAGGAGGTAATTCAAACAAAAGCAAAAACAAAACCCAGGGGTCCTTATTAGTTAGAGATGCATAGTAAATTTATTCACTAAATTATTCAGATAAAGTGGCATTATGCCTAAAATGTGCTTTATAATTCTCCAGAAAAAAAAAAAAAAATGCAGGAGTAAAGGGGAGGAAACTGTATAAGAGTAATGGAATAGAGGGAAGAATACCGACAGAATGTTGATAAAAGCTAAAGTTTAGTGTTGGGTATATGGGAGTTCATTAGACCATTTTAAATGAAAGTTTGAAAGTATCCACAAAAGAAAGTCCACCCATGAATTTGTGTAAATACATGTACAAACACATATGCACATGCACACACACAGTTCCTCAGTTTAACTTCCTAGGGTTCCTGCTACAGGACTCCCAAAGAAAACAGAAAGATACTGAATTTATATTCTTTTGAATAAAGCCTAAGAAGAGCCAAAATCATTTAGGGCCTAACAAATGATTAATAAAACAATGAAGTTACTGAGAACCTACCATGCTCACAGTAGCAAAAGAAAAACAAAACAACTAGTGAGACATTTTTGGCCAAAGGTAAAATATAGTTCCTCTCCTCATGGATTTTACAGTTCATTAGGAGAGACAAATGCAAAAGTAATTATACAATAATGTGACCTATGAGATGACCTCACAGAAAGAGTAAGGCATGAAAAATGAGGAGATACTATTATCGAGCCAAAAGGCAAGGTTAGATAGCTTCCAGATCCTAGAGAATGGAAGAAACTTGTCTGATTACCCTGGAAGTCAGAGAGTGGAAGGTGAAAAGAGACCAAAAAAAAAAAAAGGCTTTGAAAAACAAGGAGAAGCTGTCATGCAAAGGAACATGGCTACACATGGAGGCAAAGGGAGATCAGAAAATATTTTAAATAGAATTACTGCATCTGGTTTTCATTTCTAAAGGACCACTCTGAGAATAAATCAGCATGAGGATAAATTATAGGTTGAACTAGGAAAAAAAGCAGTTAGGATCTCACTGACATAATCTAGACAACAAATGACAGTCTGAGCTAAGATGTTTTTAATAGAAATAAAAAAGTAAACAAGATGTGGTTATTAGGGAGGCAAAAATCTATACATGGTGATTAACTGCATATACAGAAAGAGAAGTCAACAATGACTTCCAGGTTTCTAGCTCACTCAACTGTGTGGATGATGGTGCCATATGCTGAGATAAGAAAACGGGAAATGGAACTGTAGAAAAAAAAATTATATTCAGTTCTAGAAGTGGTAAGACTGAGATGCTCGTAAGTATTCCAGATGTCCATTATCTGGTATAAATCTGAGTACAGATTCAACAGTCAGGTGACCAATACAGGTCAGAATTGTCAGTATACAACTAAAATTACACTATTGGAAGAGATCGATCTGGATGATAGGCGGCAGAGGAAGAGAAGTCCACAAATGCCAAGATGCAAGTAAGCACAAGGTAAAATCGAAACACTTCAAAGAAAAGAGAATATAAATTAAAAATTCAACATTAGAAGTACCTATCTTTATATCTCATTCATAAAATTATCAAAAAATTTACAAAGTAGAGAAAGTTTAAAAAAAATTAAAATGTTTAGGATTAACAAGAATTTAAAGTATTCAAATAAGCAAAACTATAGAAAAAACAATTACACACAAGTCAAAGTGACCAGAAAATAAGAATGGTAAATAGAATTTCAGTGTTAATTAAATAATTCTTTATGAATGCATAAATATACATTATCTTATTTGATTCAGAATTAAATAATTCTTTATGAATGCATAAACACATATTTTGTGTATTTAATTCATAAACTTACCAAAGATGAGGAACTAAATATCTCTAAATGATTAAAACAAGTTACCCATTTGGGAGTATGAATAGAAAAAAGTCTCAAAAAAATATGTATATACTGCCCTCATGGGGCAGTAATATGTAGTTCATTAAAATACAAGCAGAAAATACATTGGACTCCTTGGATATAGCTTAATCCTAATTATCCTAGCCAATGAAGAAGCAACACTGGTGTGACTAATAACATAAACCATCTAAAAATCATTCATGTACATATTTCTGCTAATGCCAGGTTTCTTTCCTGATTGGGAAGCATTAACTTTGTATTCCAAGAGGTGTTGTAACTTTAAGGTGACCTGGATCAAAAATTCCATGCACAGATAATTCGGAGCTTATATTCCATGGGTAAATAAATCAAATCAGCCTTTAAACACCATTAAATAATGTTCCTTTTTTCTGTCAAACTGCACTGTACTATAAATCTCAAGTATCATTTATAAAAGGTAAAGATATTTAAAAAATGACTTACAATAACACACGTTGGGACTTCACGAAGAGAATATTCTGCTTTATTAGGAAGATCTTGATTGCCTACCAGCTCATAAACAGCAGGATAAGGTAACAAGTTCACCAATCCTAAAAAAGACTAGGCAGGGAAGAAAGAAAACACTGTCATTTAAATGGTGCATTTTTTCAACCACATCCATGATATAGTTTTATAGGAGTACGACTATGAGGGCTAATTTTTTAAATAAGCCTAATTAATCCACATAAATGTAAAATATATACCTGCTAAGTACCAAATAGCTAACATCAGCAATATGTGCTCATAATGCATTAACAATTGTAACAGAATATATAGGAGTTGGAAAATGTTTTAAAATATCTTGTATTTCTTGAGAAGTTTGGTTTTGAGGGGAAAAAATGAAATGACCCATCCTTCTATTATTTGCATTATTATAACTGATGCATAAGAAATACAAGAGAGTAACACTGTGGGGCTCTGGAGCAAGATAATAAATTCTAAATATTCTTGCACTCAGGCCACAAGGCTTTCTTTATCCTTTAACTACATTCACTGGAAATCCAACTAACCTAAATACTATAGTTAATTTAATTTTTTAAAAGATTTTATTTATTTGACAGAAAGACACAGCGAGAGAGGGAACACAAGCAAAGGGAGTGGGAGAGGGATAAGCAGGGGGAGTGGGAGAGGGATAACCAGGGTTCCTATAGAGCAGGGAGCCCGATGTGGGTCTTGGAGCTGGATCGCAGGATCCTAGGAGTCGCTTAATGAATGAGCCACTCAGGCACCCCTATAGTTCATTTTTTTAAAAATATTTTATTTATTTATTTGTCAGAGAGAGAACGCAAGTAGGCAGAGCAGCAGGCAGAAGAAGGGGGAGGAGAAGCAGGCTCTCCACAGAACAGGGAGCTGAATGAGGGACTCGATTCTAGGACCTTGGGACCATGATCCATGCCAAAGGCAGCCTCTTAACCAACTGAGCCCCCCAGGTGACCCCCTATAGTTAATTTTTAAAAGCCCTGGCTTTTCCTATCAAAACCAGCTCATTTTCTGGTGTAATCTTAACAAGTTAATCTCTCCATGAAGTTTTAAGCTCTTACTCTCATTTCATTTTACTAAAAGCAACCTGAATTATTTTTCTCAGGCACAGTTCATTCTTTGGATCCCCTACACAAAAGCATGCAGTGGTTGCCCATCACAAGAAGCTTAACTTAGCATGACTTTCAGGCACTTTACTAATTGACACCTTTCTCAGCTTCACAGTGTCAAAAGCCTTATTTTCCATTATTCCTCAGCAGGAAGTTACTACTTCAGTCAATTGAATGCCTGTGGTCTCCTTCAAATAAATGACTGCCACATATGCAAACCTTTTTATCCTAACAACATATTCCTCCAGCCCTCCCACTTACTCATTATCCCACTTCATAAGCTTGCCACATTTTTTCTAGAAGGCTTTCTACTGAACTCTATTCACCTCTAGAAACCCTGTATCCTGCCAATACTTGTATGTTTCATTTGTATTGTATTAACTGTACTTGTTTGTAACAATAGTATTAAGTTTTCTGCCTGCCATTTTAAAAGTTCTTCACTGGATTCAGAAAATTTGAGAATCAAATCAAGAATTTTCACTATAATCAGAACATGAGAAAATTTAAAAGAAGTTAATTCGATCTCTCACATAATAGATGAAAAAACGTAAGGACCAAAGAAATTAAGCAACTTGGCCAAAAACACGCAATCAGATAGCTGGTAGCAGAACTAATCAATATTTTCTTATTTTCAGGCTAGGTTTCTCATTATAGATCCCAGCATAATCAAATGCTATTTAACAAGGCACCTATGCTACACAGTCTTTGTTTGAGGACTTGGAAGGTTCAGTTCATCTTGCCCCCACCTCCACCACTATTATGCCAAATGAAATATTCCTTAACAAATAACAGTGGTTATAGTGAATATATTTAACACAGTGGGTCTTAACAAATATTGCTGTAGAAAAATGAACTCTTTAAAAGCTTCCTTTTCTTCCCATGAATATTCCACAAAATGAAGATGGAATTTCAAAGTATTTCTAAGGAAATAATCTATATACTACTGATTTAAACCTAGTATCATTTGTATAGCAATAAAGCTATAAAGTAGAATAACTAAACTTAATAACCTAGTTACCACTTACTGAATGCTTATCTAAAGAACACTTTGCAAAAACTGTTCACTATAGAGAAAAAACAAAAAGTGGTAGCAATAAAAGGATGTTTAAGGAATGTGTCAATTAATTATACATAAAATGAACTGCAGGGAAACTACAAAGTTTATGGCCACCTACAAAACCACCTAGGAAAAATTCACTAATCATCAAGGTGTTTACCACAAAAATGATTAAGATAGATCCCATATTTGTATTATTCATCTAGTTTATGAAAAAATAAGTTAAAAAAAAAGAAAATGCTTTAAACATGGAAATATTTTATAAATGTTAATATTAACCCAATATTTAGAGTTATAAATGTCTTATTTAAAATATCATTCCCATCTACTGTAGCCATGACGGATTACAGGAAACTTAATAAATGTTCATCTTAACATCTGACACTGTCCATCAAGGTATATGGTCTTTAGGGACGCCTGGGTGGCTCAGAGAGTTAAAGCCTCTGCCTTTGGCTCGGGTCATGACCCCAGGGTCCTGGGATCGAGCCCCGCATCAGGCTCTCTGCTCTGTGGGGAACCTGCTTTCCCCTCTCTCTCTCTGCCTGCCTCTCTGCCTACTTATGATCTCTATCAAATAAATAAATAAAATCTTTAAAAAAAAAAAAGGTAAATGGTCTTTACAAATCACATATCAATACTATACTGAGAGTTTCTGTATTATTTGCACATGAGGAATTCCATAGGTAAACATGAAACTTCCTCCTTTCATCTAAGAAATAAAACCATTCAGACCACATAGAATCATGATTACTTCTGATATGATACTCTAATTATATAGAACATAAGGTAAAAATAATTTTGTAATTATATTTGAACAAACTAAACAATTTTAAAGAAACATGGGAAAATTTCAGCAACTTGTTTCTAGAAGAAAAAAAGCATTTTTCATACAATGAGCATTTTTTAAAAACATTAGCATACTGCAAAATTGTGATGTCTTAATAAACACTTGCAGAATTTAAGAAAATATTTATAACATAATCATGAGTTCCCATAAAAACATCATAAGATGTTGCTAATATCAAACATTAATTATCCTAAAATTTATATTAGCACAAAACATTTTACTTCCATGACTTGAAGAAAATAAGGCTTTGTAAATAGTAAGGAAACTAATTAAAGGTTAAATATTTGATATATTTTGAGACTAAACCATTTTAAAATTATCCAAGATCAAACACTTTTTTATGAAATAAAACTCCTTCAGGTTGAAAATGATCACCCATTCACTTATTAAATCAAAATATTTTAACACCAGCTTCTTATTGGCAATTATGCCAGATGCTAAAAATAAAAATATGAATGAATAAAGGAATGGTACCTGCCCTCAAGGACTCACACAGTAACAGAGGACAAATACACTATTAGAGCCTTTAAAATGGTTCTCCAGGGAAGCCTGGGTGGCTCAGTCAGTTAAGCATCTGCCTTTGGCTCCGGTCATGATCCCAGGGTCCTGGGATCCAGGCCCACATGCTTCTCCCTCTCCCTCTGCCTGCTACTCTGCTTACTTATGCTCTGTCAAATAAATAAATAAATAATCTTTAAAAAATTAAAAATAAAATGGTTCTCTAAATTACCTGATGGTACCATACTATGGAGAGGGATGGAAGGACATTGGGAGGATCACATTACACAGCAAAGCAAGAGGTGATAAGAGCTGTGACTGCAAAGTAGCAGGCAGGTAGGCAGGAGATGTACTATGTTAATGAGCACTAACTTTATCCTTTAGGGAAAAAAAAACAAAGGTTTTCCAGAAAAGTAATGAAAATTTCATTTTACCTTATAGATAGAAAGCTATGAAGGAAAACAGTTATGAGGGTAGACAATACTGGGAAAAAAGAAATTAAGATTCAGAGTTCTAAGAATGAGATATCAACTACACTTATTACACCAAAAATGTATTTTTAAGTGTCTAATAGAGAAATCAGAAATTGATTTAAAAAGGCAAATTTGAGATAAGATAATCAAACCATTTTAAATAGTTTTACATCTTTCTAGTCTGTATGCCTTTTTTTTTCCTTGTCTTATCACACTAAGATCTAATACAATGCTAAATTGGTAAGAGTAAGCAGATTTTAGGTCCAATATTTCACATTAAATATGAGATTCACGTTTTTGATAGATAGTATGTATCAGATTGAAAGAAATCTGCTGAGTTTTTATCAAATATGGGCATTAAACTTTGCCAAATGATGTGTCCACGTTTACTGAAATCATCATATGAGTCTTCTTTATTCTATTATTATAGTGAATTATCGTCCCATTTTAGAATAAGAAACCAACTGTCTGTTGCCTGGGATAAACCCCACTTGATCATAAAAAATGATGGATCCTTTTCTATATTACTATATGCAATTCGATAATATTTTGTTAAATATTTAAGTCTATACTCCAATTTGTCTTTTTTTTTTTTTTGTAACAGTTTTTTCTCATCCACATCAATATTATGCTGGCCTCCTCGTATAAGTTAGAAATTGATTCTTCAACCTCTGTTTTGTGAAAAAACTTGTGTGAGATTGGTGTTCTTTCTCCTGTAACAGTTTCATAGAATTCACCACTGAAATCACGTGGCTCTCTATGGTAAGTTTTTTAATAATTTGATTTCTTTTTTTTTTTTTAAAGATTTTATTTATTTATTTGTCAGAGAGAGAGAGAGGAAGAGAGAGCAAGCACAGGCAGACAGAATGGCAGGCAGAGGCAGAGGGAGAAGCAGGCTCCCTGATGAGCAAGGCGCCCGATGTGGGACTCGATCCCAGGACGCTGGGATCATGACCTGAGCCAAAGGCAGCCGCTTAACCAACTGAGCCACCCAGGCGTCCCAATAATTTGATTTCTTTAACAGAAACATAGCTACTCAGATTTTCTGTTTTATACTGGGTCAGTTTGGTAAGCATATTTAAGAAGTTTGTCATTTTTATCTTAGTTGTTTAATTTAGAGCATAAAGCTGATTGTAATATTCCTTCATTATTCCCCTAACTATGGGATCTTCAGTGAAACTCTTCTTTCATTCTTGATTAATTTTGGGTCCCTCATTTTCTTGATGACTCTAGCCAGGAGTTTATTATTTTTAATAATCATTTGCAAGTACCAAATTTTGGTTTTGTTACTTTTCTTGTTTGTCTTTTTTCTGTTTCACTGATTTCTGCTTTATTATTTCCCTTCTTCCATGTTCTTTGGGTATAATCTGTTCTTTTTCCAGTTTCTTAGAGTGAGAACCCGACTCATTAATTTTAGATATTTCTAATATAAATATTACAGTTAAATATTCCTCTTAGAACTACTTCAGATACATTTGCAAATTTTCTATTTTATTTTTATTTTCTGCTTTAAAATATTTCATTTCCCTTATGACTTCTTTGAGCTGTGTGTAATTTAGAAGTGTATTTTCAAATATTTCAGATTTTGCAGTTTCTAGCTTGTGATACTTAAATTCACTGTGGTGTCAGAACACACTTTGTATTATTCCAATCATTTTAAATTTAGGCAGACTTAACACTCTAGCCCAGCAAACCTCTTGGTAAGCATGCTGAGTGCTCTTGAAAAGAATATGTGTTCTGCAGTCACTGAATATAGTATCCTATAAAGAACAATTAGATCAAATGATGACTAGTGATATTCATATCATGTACCTGAGAACAGACTGAAAGATGTTACATCAATTGCTAAAAGAGGAATGTTAATATCTTCAACTGTTACTATACAGTTGCCTATTTCTTCCTTAAGCTATTTTAATACTTCATATATTTTGAATCTCATTTCTAGGACCATAACTAACTTATGGTTGTTATATCTTCCTGATATATTGACCAGATTATGTTCAAATGTTTCTTAATCCAACATTACTTCATTTTCTATGTCTCTGACATTAAATACTGCTACTGCAAGTCTTCTAATGTATATTTTTCCTCTGTTTTTTCTATTCATTGACTTTCAACTTACCAGTGTCTTTTTCTTTAAAGTGAATTTCTTAGAGACAGCATATTATTTGGGTCTTATTCTGAAAATCTTTAGTCTCTTACATGTAATGCAATTATTGATTAGGGCTACAATTTCCCATTTATTTTCTTTTTTCCCATCCCTTTTCTGTCCCTTTCTGTGTTTTGGGATTATTTTTAGAATTTTATTTTAGCTATATCTTTTGCATTTACTTAGTGGTTTTTCCAGGTCAGCTATCCAATAGACCTCTCTGTGGTGTTGGAAATGTTATATTAATTGAACTATGCAACAGTCACTAGTTGCATGTGGCTACTGAACACTTAAGATATGATTAAATGTACTTGAGGGACTACATTTTTAACTTCGATTTTAAATAGGTTTATATAGCCATATGGTACTATTGTCTATCATATTCCAAAGCACAGCTAATAGAGAAGTAAGAGGAGGGTGGACTGGAAATAAATTTAGTGTACCTCATATACTGAGGACACATTATTGTTTTCTACAATTTAAAAGACAGCAAAATTAAATCCCAAAAGTAAAATTAAATCCCAATTTTCTAGGGAATAATATTTAGAATTATAAGCTGGGCACTAAGAATGTTTGCTATGAGTTGTTTCTAGATAATTCAGTCAGTAGCTTAGAGGAGCATACATTTTTTAATAGAAATTAACATTAGTTTATACTGACATTTCTAATGCAAAGTCAAATTCGTTAAATAAAATCCCAAACTTATAAGAGAAAAAGAATATTTTTTTAGGGATTAAAATTAATGTTGTTCCACTTCATGTAAAATTTAAGAATCATGAAACCACATAGATTTGTATACCATTAATACCACTTGCTTATCCTGTGTGGTAGACCTGTCATATATATTAACTCTAAGTATAAAATAAATCCCATTATTGTCATAGTTTTCTTGTAAACAGTCTTATGAATTAAGAGAAAAACATGTTTGTTTTTTTAAGATTTTATTTATTTAGGGGCGCCTGGGTAGCTCAGTGGGTTAAAGCCTCTGCCTTCAGCTCAGGTCATGATCCCAGGACCCTGGGATCGAGTCCCACATCGGGCTCTCTGCTCAGCAGGGAGTCTGCTTCCTCCTCTCTCTCTGCCTGCCTCTCTGCCTATTTGTGATCTCTGTCAAATAAATAAATAAAATCTTTAAAAAAAAAAAAAAAGATTTTATTTGAGAGAGAGAGAGTGCACACACGAACACAGGTGAGCAAGGGGTAAAGGGAGAGGCAAAGGGAGTGGAAGGGAGAGGAAGAGAGGAAGAGACAGAATCCCAAGCAGATACCACACTTAGGGGGGACTTGACAGAAGGCTCAGATTTCATGCACCTAAGCCAAAATCAAGGCAAATGCTTAACAGACTAAGCCACCTAAGTGCCCCAACAGGCTTTTTTATACTCACTCACCTACTTGAAATTTCTTTTCAGTCTGAAAATCCAAATATCCATCGGGTATCATTGTCCTTCAACCTGAAGAAATTCTTTTAGTGTTAAATAAAATGCAGGTCTGCTGGAAAATATTTTCTTAGCCTTTGAAGTTTATTTTTCTTTTATCCTTGAGTATTTTTGCTGGATACAGAATTCTAGGTGGACTGGGCTTCCCCCCTTTCAGCACATTAAAGATATGTTATTATCTCCTGGCCTCTGCAGTTTCTAATCAGACACACTGCAGTTTCTAATGGCACACTTTACTGCTATTCCCTTGTGTATATGATTTTCTATAGTTTCTTCCCAGATTTTCTTTTTATCTTTAGTTTTCAGCAGTTTGTATGTCTATAATGAGCCTTACTGTGGTTTCCTTTGCATTTTCATTCTTTGCATACTCTTCCTTGGGATTCACTAAGATTCTTGATCTATAAGTTTACATTTTTCAAGATATTTGGAAATTCAGCTTCTGTTTAATATCTTTCTGTCCCATTCTCTTTCTCTTCAATATACCAATCAAATGTATTAAACCTTTTGATACAGGTCTCACAAATCACAGAAGCATTCCTTAGTTTTTCTCTCTGCTCTTCAGATTATATAATTTCTCTTGATCTATCTCAAGTTCATGGACTAGTTATTCTGTCATATTTAAATATTCTATTAAGCTCATCTAGAAAATTATTTCAGATAAGATGTTTAGTTCTAGAATTTCCATCTGGTTCTTTTAAATGGTTTCTATTTCTCTACCACAATTTCCAGTTTCTTTACTCATTACAAGCATATTTTCCTTTGCATGCTACTTATAACAACAACTTCAAAATTCTTGTAGATAATTCCAACTCAATCTCTATTAGTTGCCTTTTTCTGGGTTTGAATCACATTTCTCTTATTCTCCATATGTCCAGTAATTATGGACTACATCCAATATATTATGAAAGATATATTCCACAATGCTGTTAATTAACTTAACAGTTTAACAGGGCAAATTTAAGCTCTAAACTCTGACCTTTGTGGTAAGAACATCTGGTATCTCTTGAGTCCAAGTTCAGGGGAGAGTCTTATATTTGGATGGTATGTAAACAAAATTTAAGTGCCCCCTATGTACTTCTCTCCTTCCCAGAGACTTCCTTCCATGTTCCAGCTGCTGTGTAGCCCTAAAACTCTTCTCTTTTGATTTTTCAAACTTGTTAGAATATGGATATCCCTGTGGATACTTGCCCTCAGGCAAAAGTCTATTAAATCCAGAATCTCAAGCAGTCCAATCTATTCATCTGCACACTGACTCCCCTCCTTTTTTTTTGAGGGGGGGCTCTCTTTTTAGCCATTCTGTTGCTTTTTTAAGTCACTTTTCCAGAGTTTGTGTCTACTACTGGAGGGAAGTAGCCTAGCATTACAGAAAACAGAATTTCATTTTTTAAAATAATTTTATGACATTTCCTTTAAAACCTTCCCAGGCTGCCATAAAGTCAAAGTTAGGAATTCTCAAGTCATTTAGCTTTGGTGAAATTTGGGAAACATGTCAAATACATAAAAGCCATTGAATTATAATAGAACATTGTACAGGTACTTTAGAATTTCTCTTTTTTTGGCACATTACTCTAAATGACAATTTTCTATTAGATTTAAACCAAAGGGCAAAAGCTTCCTCTTTTTTTTTTTTTTCCCCCTTTGGTTGAGTGGTTTTTGTTTTAGGGTTTTGGTAGGGCGAGTGAGGTTGTTTTTCATAATGTCTGCTGTGTCTTACTCTTTATTAGAGAAAAATTACAGTAAAAACAATGTGAAAGGAAAACATTCTTACAAAAAACAATTCCCATTAAACACTAGTAGTTCTAACCACTCATTTTGAAAACAAAAAAAAATTAGAACTGAAACAAAGGAGATAAAAGAAAGTTAGGAGAAGCTGCTGGTTGTAACTGAATATATATAAAGTCAGGATGAAGTAATTTCTGAGAGAGATACCCAGATCATTCCCTACCTTTTGACAGCTCCGGTCAACAGGATCCACTGGAGTAGATCTAGGATGGGTTACTCTAACATCATCTCTTCCACATTCCAGATTGGCCCATAATTCAGTTATAAGTGCATTAATAAATCCTAAGAAGAATTATTTTACATCATATTTACAGTATACTATTTCTTCAGATTATGGAGAAAGACATAATTATCCCTCTGACAAGACTGGTCCACAGTGACAACAGACACATACTTACATCTTGAGTAAAAAATAACCTCTAAACTTGGTAGAAATTGTATCTCCTACTGTTCACTATATCTTCATGATACCTCATTGTCATAAAACTGCATAATGACTAAATTCTGAGACACTATCTCCCTGGAGAACTGAATTTTGAGTCTTACAATTTATCCCTTAGCCAATAACTTCTGAGCATGTTTTCCTGAAAAATAAGATTTATACTTTACTCTGCAAATGGGCCAACAATGAAAGGCGGCTGAAAGGTGGTATGTATGTGTGTGTGCATGTGTGTAGGAGCTATCAGGAGGCAGGGTAGGCACTTAAACAGTGTGTGTTCCTTATCCTAATATATATACTAATATAACTTTTTTTTTTAATTCTTATGCTTGAAACAATTCAATTTCACACAACCTTTGGCTCAACAGAGTTTAAATTCTCATGAGTAAGATACTATATGTCTAAATGAAAGTGATTATTAAGGTTGATTATTAAATTTTTATGAAGAATCAAATTACATAAAAAAGTGTAAGACAGAACATCTAATAAAATCAGTAAGTTCATAATAACATCAGAGCAGAAAGGCTCCTGTGATATAAAAGAAAAAATATGGAATCTGAAATCAAGAATATCAGGGTTGAAATTATAAACCTGCCAGCTTAATAGTTGTATGTCCTTACACAAATCCCTTGACTTCTTAGAGCATCAGTTCCCCCTTTTGAAAATTGAAATAGTGCTATATTTGAGGGTTGACATGAAGTATAAATGGGATGATATATGTAGAGTTACTAATATACTACCCTAAGACATCATAGGAACTCAATCAGTGTTCGTCTTCTCTCCATTGCCCTGTAAAATAACTGATATCATGAGGCTTAGAAGATTAATGACTTGGCCAACAGGGAAATCTGAGGTTAAATCTAGTCTCCAAATGCTTCCATTAATGTGCCTCTACTATGGAAATATATTAGATTATATACCAAGTAGAAGAAGAAATAAGTTGTTCAGTTTATGACAACTTCTACCAAGAAACATGTTTCATAATATTCCAAATTAGCTTGTCAAAAAGTTTTTAAGATATATTATAGTAAAATATTTTCATTTAAGGAGAGAATCAGTTGTGGTCAGTGATGTTATAATTCATCAACCCTAAGCTTTCAAAAATATAACCATAGAATCTCTATTAGAGGTATGTCTTGTCTCTGGTTCAGGGTTCCGATAACCTTAGATATATTAAGTTAGCAATGTTTAAACTTCTTAAAAATCCAATCCATAGTAGATAATACAAGCTGACTGCAAAGACAGTGGTGAAAACTAAGTAGTAAGAGGAAAGCTTTCAAGAAGCAAAAGAGGAAGAAGGGAAATAAGGAAATGGGACATATGTATGTATGCTAACTATTGTGGATGTAAATTCTGAAGCATATACAGGCCACTGAAACTGAGCATTAAGAAATCCTATAAGATTCAAAAAAGGAAAAAAGAAAAAAAGAAAGAAATCCTGGAAGATTCAGCTGTACTGAGAGGACAACATCCTTTTGATTTATAACATAAAGACAACTTCCTAAAGCATCAAGTACTTCTCAGTTTAATTCATTATGTTCCCTGTTCTCAAAAAAGAGAACAAGGCTGTGTGTACATATATCTTTCAAGAGAAAAAAAAAAAATCCCACTGCAATTTCATGGAAGTGAAAAAATAAAGGACACCCTGTAACTTTCCCTTACCTAAGGGAAAGTAACAGGAAAAAGAACTTTAGAGTAAATATCCTGAGAGCTGATCATGCCAGTTAAATTTTCCATCAGCCTGCTCATTTTATTTAAAATAATCAGAATTCTAATTAAAAGGAAAACTTACCTGAACTTTGTAGTGCTACTGCACCTGCTGCTGTGGATGCCACTTGTGTTACCAAAACTCCATAGCCAAACTTTTTATGCCTGCTGATCTAACAACATAAGTAAGGAACAATGAAAACCAGGAAAACATAAAATGCTAATACTTTATTCATACGTTACATGCAGAGTTACTGATTCTCCTTATTACAGTACTACACATCCTTTTAGGTAAGGATAATTAGCAGCAAACACAAATCAGACACCCTATCAATGAGTTAATATTTTTGACAATCCTATTTCAGATATAGGTCCTAACCCCAGCCTTCAAATGAAGTAGATTTTTGCCTTGAATGAGTCACTTCTCTAGGTCTCAGTCTCTTCATACATAAAATAAGCAACTTTGACCAGATGAAGATTAACATGCCTTCTGACTTTAAATTGTATTATTTTATTCCTTAGTTTAGTTTTTCAATAATAAATTTCCTCATTAATAAATCTGTATTGTCTACCAGTTGAACTATACTTATAAATAACCGAGAAACTTTAAAAAATAATATCTTCTCAATGGTAATTATTTTTAGAGGAAATGTGATTTTTTTCTCCTTGTTACATATATATATATATATACATATATATATATATATGTATATCACGAACACACACACACACACACACACACACAAAGAATCCTCGTCATTAACACACAGGTTTCTAAACAGTGTTGTAGAAGACCTTGGATAATTTGTTATGTCCCAAAGAGAGTACTATACATATATTCATGGTAAACACAAAAATATCATGCTTGGCAGAAAACAGAATATGGAAATAATAAGCATTAAAAAAAAATTCCTTCTCAGATCTTAGTTATGACCAGGTTGGCTAATAAAATGGCTGACTTCTAAACAAAGTTAACTAACCATTTATAATTTTTATTTTTTCAACATTCCATTAAAAGGATCTGTTTCAATCAAATTTTAAAAATATAAACTATACGTTCAGATTTGAGGGCAAAAAAAAAAGTAGGAAGGAACTAAAAGATCATGGGAAAGAATTAGATTTCTTCAATTTTCTGCTATTCATGTCTTTATAAGTTTGCTTTCCTTTTCTAATTTTATTACTTATATTTTCCACTTTCCTTAATTTACCATACATTAGTTCTGTAGTTAGATGACACAGAGGTACAGAAATATGAATGTTTTTTTCCTGCTTGCCCTCCTCTGTAATAACTCAAAAAATACCTTACACATCAGTCATCCCCACTGACTCTGCCGATTTTGATACTAGTAGCCACAGAAGCCTCCCAAATTCATATTAAGTACTGAAAAGGAAGAGGCAAAGCAAAACTTCAGAAAAGTTAGAGATGCTTGACTAAAGAATTACTTAACTTTCAGGAACATTGTTAAAGACAAATTCTAGTCTTACTGCCTTCAGTAACTCGGTGTGAGCATTCACAGATCATTTTACAAAGTGCGGGTCTCTACTTTCTCTTCAGCAAAATTAAGGAAATGGACTAGTAACTTTCTTACAAGATACCAGAGACTCTAAATTTTCAAAAAACGTCCTGAATAGCATAAAGCATCATTAAAATATTGAATCATATTATAAGGTTGTGCATTACTGAGATTTAGGGAACAGTATCCTCTATTATAACCACCAGTGTGGTACAAAGGAAGGCTAAATTCTTTTAATATTCATAAATGTTAAAAACAATGACATCTAGTCTTAGATATACGATCACAGTAGCAAAAGTTATGTATGCATAGTCTCAAGCATCTGAGAAAGAAAAATGTCTTTGAATTGCTTTAATATTTTCAAAAATGTAAAAAAAAACAAAACACACACACACAAAACAAACAAACAAAAAAAACCACCCAAACGGTTAACTAAGTACACAAGGAGATTCAAACTCACCAGCAGAGAAATTCATATTAAAATGACAAATTCATTTATGTAAACTTAAAACTCCCAAGAAACTTAAATATTTACTATAGTCTGAATATTTGAGTCTCAATAAAATTCATATGTTGAAATCCTAAACCCCAAAGGTGATGTAGTGAATGGGACCTTGATTAGATCATGAGGTGGTTGAGTCCCCAAGAATAGGATTAGTACTCTTTCAAAAAAGATCCCGGAGAGCTTACCCATGTGAGGCTTACCCCTAGCCCTTACCCATGTGAGGATACAATGACACATCTATGATCCTAAGAGGGCCCTCACCTGACCACACTGGCATCCTGATCGTGGACTACCAGCCTCCAGAACTGTGAGCAATAAATGTGTGCTGTTTATAAACCACACAATCTATGGTATTTTAACAGCCTAAATGGACTAAGACAATATTTGACAAGAAGTATTCACACCCCAAGATACTATACATACTAAACACATTAGCATGGAACCCAGGGATAAAGGAATACATGCCAGGTGAAATGGAACTGTGACTCAGAAATGACAGGGGAATCAAATTAATCAAGACAGACATCTTACATGCACAGATGAAAAGAGATGCCATAAACTGAGGTATATAAATAACTAAGTTCTCTATACTTGAGGTCCATTTAAATAAGAAATAAAAACACATCTGCACATACAAACCTAATATCATAAACCCATGAACAAATTTTCATATGTTTTATTTGTGAAGGGATGCTCAGGGTCCTCCCTCATAAACCACCTACTCTTCCAGGCAAAAACTCTGAGTTATCTGTGTTTTCACAGGTTTAAGCAAAAGCAGGAAATTAGAACTGAAGAACAAATAAAATGGCATTTACAACCTGGTAACCTAGTAACATCAATATACAACAGCTGCCAGAAACAAAGAAGACACAATTTAAAAGCATACATATGATCCAAAAAGCCAAGAAGTTCAGGGATGTTTATGCTATCACAGCAAGAAGCTGAATACACTTCAATGAACTTCTGAGAAAGGGCTAAATTATGCTCGACATTTTAACAGTATCAGTAAAATCCCTCTACAAATATTTTTTTTTAATGTGAGAACTAAATTCTTATTAACATTTGCATTTAAGCCCAATGAGGTTTATCCCCTTCCTGAAAGTCCATCCAGTTTTAGTGTAACCAAAATTTATTATATTTATAACACATCTGGATGGTTAAATGTATTTTTCAATTCCATCTGGTTGCTTCCCATCCTGTAAACACATACATAGATAGCAACATCAACTCTAATGCTTTCTTGAAAAAATATCAAGTTAAATATTACAATGCTATATGGCTTTTTAATTGAGGTTTAATTGTCTCTCTTCTACAGAGAAGACAGAATGATATTCTTAATGGCTTTTACAACAACAAAAATTCTTTTTGCCTGCGGCAGATGGTAATTCATACCTGTAATTTTTTTGCATATTGGTTGAACATAAATGTCACACATTCATTGATGGCACCTGTTCTTTGAAGAAAGAGTAGTCCTTTGGGAGTGGCAGCAAAATTTAGTAAATCATCTAACAAATTCTCTTCCCAAGCCATACTGAAACAGGTAAAAGAAAGGTATGCATTTCATTATTACACTCAAAACTGAAAAGAAAATAATTTCAGCTTAATACTGTTAATAAACTTACAGAGTACATACTGATAGCTAAGTATGCAGTTTAAAAAGTAAGATAAATAAAAAGTATGGTTTCCATGAGAGTGAGTTTTTATTATTATATTTTCTATGCCAATAATTTTCTTCCACTTTAATCAAATGTTAACTACAGGTGTCAGCATTTTTATTACATCTAGTTTCTCTCATCTTCACTTTAATTTCATTCTCTTCTCCTACCATAATTCTGCTGGGCCTGAATCCCCAAGTCCCAACTCTCCATTATTTCCATACTTTCTTTTTATTACAGAATATCTGTCTTTCAACTTTATAAGGCATATCAGGAACAGTACCTTTATTTTCATAGGTTTTTAATTTTACTTTTAGAGAATGACATTTTTTTCCTCAAACTCTTTTATTTATTTATTTTTTTTAACAGAGAGAGAGAGAGAGAGATCACAAGTAGGCAGAGAAGCAGGCAGAGAGAGAGGGGGAAGCAGGCTCCCTGCTGTGCAGAGAGCCCGATGTGGGGCTCGATCTCAGGACCCTGAGATCATGACCTGAGCTGAAGGTAGAGGCTTAACCCACTGAGCCACCCAGGCGCCCCTCCTCAAACTCTTTTAAAAGGAAGGACAGTAACATTCTCCAGAGAAAAATTCTGAAACACTCAGAAGACACAGTTAATAGGAGAGTCAGAGCAAGAAATACAGAAATGTAGGAGGGGATATGAGCACTTCATTTGGAAGTACCAAAAGGAGAAAATGGACTACCTACTCGATAGTCCTAGTTGTCTGGAAAGAAACTTTGCATACAAAAATAGGCAAAAAAACAATATCTACATGTATAGTGAAATTGTGAGTATGGAGATGAATGCCATTTTCCCCCAAGGAAGTATCAGAAGTCTGTTTTGAAAAGGATTGTAAAGAAATTTGAAATTTAAAATTGAATGATTAGTTCATGTTTTGACATCTATCCCTCTATACCAATAACACAAAGCAATGGCCAAAGATATAACCATGTTTAAATAACAAATTCCACCATGGACAGAGAACAGAAATACAAACAAATAGAACTCTACTTTTAAGGTAAATGCAGGCAACAGAAACCAAATTTATTGTTCCAGTAGGATATAAAGGACTAACGGAATTACCTTTGAGACACAAGACTAGTGCTAGACTCACTGCTTAAGACCTAAGACTGGATAAGACTAATAAAAATAATATATATTTAACTGGATTAAAATAAAATTTATATACTTAAAAAATACTACATACAGAGAAAATGTGAGAGAGGGGAGGAGCAAGACGGCAGAGGAGTCAGAGACCTAAATTTCATCTGGTCCCAGGAATTCAGCTAGATAGTTATCAAACCATTCTGAACACCTATAAACTCAACAGGAGACTGTAAGAAAAAAATAGCATCAATTCCATGAACAGAAAAGTAACCCTTTCTGGAGGGTAGGACATGCAGAGAAGTAAATCCAAGGTGATATTTGGGAAGACAGACCACAGGGGGAGGCAGTAGCTAAGTGGGGAGTGGAACCTTTGCTGGGACACAGTGGTATCAGCATCCTAAAGGTCACAGAAAGACCATGGGTGCCTAAGTGTGCCTAAAGTGCCTAAAGTGCCTAAAGACCATGGGAGCTCTCAAGTATCACAGTGGGGAAGCCGGCTGCGAAGACAGAGCCAAGTAATGGGCTCTCAGCTTGGAGATGCCTTAAACTGTGATCGGCACAACAGCTGGGTCACTACTATTCGAGCAGGGACACAACAAGCGGCAGATCTAGGGAGAGTCCCCTTCCTCCGTGGGGAGGATCAGCATAGGAGCACACCACAGAATCTGCTTGGTTTGGAAACTCCAAACTGTGGCATGTGCCAGAGACAGAAACGCTTGGTCACAGGCCAGGTGAGCACACAGTGAGGCGGGAGATCAAGGAGACAGGAATGACTGACTGCTCCTCTCAAAGGGTTCAGCAAGGAGTGGGGCCCAAGTTCTTGTCTCCTCCAGGGCCAGAGATAATAGTAAAACTTACAAGTCTCAGAGACAAAGAGAAAATCCTGAAAGCCCCTCAGGACAAGAAGTCTGCAACCTACAATAGTAGAAACATTAGATTGACAGCAGGGCCAGAGATAGGAAGGCCGCTATTTTCATTCTCATCCTACAAAGCTATATGGAAAGCTTTCTGGAAACAGAAGCTACCAAGAGCAACCCCAAGCAGATTACTCAGCCTGGCCCCTACCAAGGGCAGTGCAATTTCACCTTGGGCAAAGACATTTAGAATCAATGCAACAGGCACCTCCCCAGAAGATCAGAAAGAAAATGCAGCCAAGACCAAGTTTACCCACCAATGACAACTGCAAAACTTCAGCACTAGGGGAATACAGCATATAGAATTCATGGCTTTTTTCCTATGATCCTTTAGTCTTTTGAAGTTAATTTTTTTAATTTTATTTTATCTTTTTCTAGGTTTCATTTAATTTTTCTTCTTTCCTTTTTCAACCAACAGCTTATCAATTCCTTTTTTAAAATCTTTTTAATTTTTCATTGTTACAGTCATATTTTATTTCTTTACTGTATTTAACCTTATTTTTTGTATATACATAATTTTTTCTTGCTTTAAAGATTTGGGATACAGTTTCCTCTAACAGACCAAAATATACCTTAAATCTAGTGTATGGATTTGTTCACGTTTCCCAGCTGATCACATTCTCTCTTATTTTTAAAAATTTTTGGTCCTTTTTCAACCAACTTGTTTTATCAATTCCTTTCCTAAAATCTTTTTTAATTTTCATCTTTATAGCAATATTCCATCCCTTCATCATATTTCCCCTTATTTTTTGTATATATAGATGTTTTTCTTTCTTTAAACTTTTGGGAGGCAGTTTTTTCTAACAGAGTAACATATGCCCAAAATCTAGTGTGTGGCTCCGTTCTATTCCCCAGTATGATCATATTCTTTTTCTTTTTTTCTTTTCCTTTCTTTTTGCCCCGATTTTGGGTCTCTTGTTTAGTGTGTATTTTTCTGGGGCTGTTGTTACCCTTTTAGCATTTTATTCTCTCATTTATCTATTCTTCTTTGGACAAAGTGACAAAATGAAAAAGCTCACCTCAAAAAAAAAGAGAATAAGAGGCAGGACCAACTGGCAGGGACCTAATCAATATGGATATTAGTAAGATGTAGAAACGAGAGTTCATAATGACAATTATAAAGATAATAGTTGGGGGGCGCCTGGGTGGCTCAGCGGGTTAAGGCCTCTGCCTTTGGCTCAGGTCATGATCCCAGGATCCCGGGATCGAGCCCCACATTGGGCTCTCTGCTCGGCAGGGAACCTGCTTCCTCCTCTCTCTCTGCCTGCCTCTCTGCCTACTTGTGATCTCTGTCTGTCAAATAAATAAATAAAATCTTTAAAAAAAAAAATAAAGATAATAGTTGGGCTTGAAAAAAGCTTAAAAGATACTAAAGAATCCCCTTCTGAAGATATAAAAGAACTAAAATCTAACCAAGTTGAAATTAAAAAGGCTATTAATGACATGCAATAAAAAATGGAGGCACTAACTGCTAGGATAAATGAGGCAGAAGAGAGAACTAGTGATACAGAAAAACAAATGATGGAGAAAAGAAGCTGAGATAAAAGAGAAGTGGACCATGAGGGGAGATTCAAGAGATAAGTGACACCATAAGATAAAACAGTATTAGAATAATTGGGATCCAAGAAGAAGAAGAAAAAGAGAGAGGGGGCAGAAGGAATACTAGAGCAAATTATAATGGAAAACTTCCCTAATTTGGCGAAGGAAGCAGACATCAAAACCCAAGAGGCACAGAGAACCCCTCTCAAAATCAATAAAAATAGATCAATACCCTGTCATATAATAATAAAACTTACAAGTCTCAGAGACAAAGAGAAAATCCTGAAAGCCCCTCAGGACAAGAAGTCTGCAACCTACAATGGTAGAAACATTAGATTGACAGCACAGACCTATCGACAGACACCTGGTAGGCCAGAAAGAACCGGCATGATATATTCAGGGGACTAAATGAGAAAAATATGCATCCAAGAATACTATACCCAGCTAGGCTGGTTATAGAAGGAGAGAAAAAAAGGAAAAAAAATAGGAGAGAAAAAAAAGCTTCCAAGACAAAAAAAAAAAAAAAAAAAAAAAGATTTGCAAACACCAAGTCAGCCCTATAGGATATACGAAAGGGGTCCTCTAAACAAAGAGAGAGCCCAAAAGTAACACAGATCATAAAGGAACAGAGATAATATACACTAACAGTCACCTTACAGGGAATACAAGGGCACTAAATTCGTATCTTTCAATGGTTATCCTGAAGGTAAATGGGATAAATGTCCCAATCAAAACACAAAGGGTATCAGATTGGATTAAAAAACAAGACCAATCAATACACTATCTGCAAGAGACTCATTTTAGACCCAAAGACACCTCAAGATTGAAAGTTAGGGGGTAGTAAACCATTTACCACGATAATGGACATCAAAAGAAAGATGGGGTAGCAATCCTTATATCAGACACATTAGATTTTAAACCAAAACTATAGTAAGAGATGAGGAAGATCACTATTATCATATTTAAGGAGTCTATCCAACAAGAAGATCTTACAATTTTAAATATCTATGCCCCTAACATGGGAGTAGCCAATTATATTTTGTCAATAACAATAATTTATAATTATAAACAATATATTAACATATATTATATGTTAATATAACATATAACATATATTAACATAATATATAAACAATAATTAACAAAAAAATGTTGATAATTTGTTAATAACAAAATCAAAGAAACACATCAACAATAATAAAATAATAATAGGGGAATTTAACACCCCCTCACTGAAATAGACAGATCATCTAAGCAAAAGGTGGACAAGGAAATAAGGCTTTAAATGACACATTGGACCAGATGGAAGTCACAGATATATTCAGAACATTCCATCTCAAAGCTACAGAATACACATTCTTCGCTAGTGTACATGGAAAATTCTCCAGAATAGATCACATCCTGGGTCACAAATCAGGTCTCAACTGGTACCAAAACATTGGGATCATTCCCTGAATATTTTTGGACCACAATGCTTTCAAACTAGAACACAAACACAAGAGGAAAATTGGAAAGAACTCAAATAAATGGAGGACAAAGAGCATCCTACTAAAGAATGAATGGGTCAACCAGGAAATTAAAGAAGAATTTTTAAAATTCATGGAAACAAATGAAAATGCAAACACAACTGTCCAAAATCTTTGGGATGCAGCAAAGGCAATCCTAAGAGGAAAATATATAGCAATACAAGCCTTTCTCAAGAAACAAGAAAGGTCTCAATTACACAACCTAACCCTGAACCTAAAGAGGCTGGAGAAAGAACAACAAATAAAGCCTAACCCCAGCAGGACAAAAGAAATAATAAAGATCGCGGCAGATATCAATGAAATGGAAACCAAAAGAACAGTAGAACAGATCAATGAAAGTAGCAACTGGTTCTTTGAGAGAATTAATAAGACTGATAAACCCATGGCCAGACTTATCAAAAAGAAAAGAAAAGGACCCAAATTGTTAAAATCATGAATGAAAGAGGAAAGATCACAACCAACACTAAAGAAATACAAACAATAATAAAAACATATTATGAGCAACTATACGCCAGCATATTAGACAATATGGAAGAAATGGATGTATTCCTAGAGACATACAAACTACCAAAACTGAATCAGGAAGAAATAGAAAACCTGAACAAACCCAAAACCAGTAAGGAAATTGAAGCAATCTTTAAAAATCTCCCAAGAAACAAGAGCTCAGGGCCAGATGGCTTCCCAGGGGAATTCTAACAAACATTTAAAGAAGAATTAATACCTATTCTCTTGAAACTATTCCAAAAAAACAGAAATGGAAGGAAAACTTCCAAACTCATTTTATGAGGCCTACATGACCTTGATCCCAAAACCAAAGACTCCATCAAAAAGGAGAATTACAGACCAATATCCCTGATGAACACAGATGCAAAAATTCTCACCAAAATACTAGCCAATAGGATCCAACAGTACATTAAAATGATTACTCACCACAACCAAATGGGATTTATTCCTGGGCTGCAAAGATGGTTTAAAATCCACAAATCAATCAATGTTATACAATATACTAATAAAAGAAAGGACAAGAACCATATGATACTCTCAATAGATGCTGAGAAAACATTTGACAAAGTACAGCACTCTTTCTCGATGAAAATTCTTCACAGTGTAGGGATAGGGGGTACGTACCTTAATATCACAAAAGCCATCTATGAAAAGCCTAAGCAAATATCACTCTCAATGGGGAAAAACAGAGATTTTCCCAAAGGTCAGGAACACGGTAGGAATGTCCACTTTCACCACTGCTATTCAACATAGTACTAGAAATCCTAGCCTTAGCAATCACACAACAAAAAGAAACAAAAGGCATCCAAATCAGCAAAGAAGAAGTCAAACTCTCACTCTTTGTAGATGATATATACTTTACATGGAAAATCCAAAAGACTCCACTCCAAAACATTAGAACTCATATAGGAACTCAGGAATTCAGTAAAGTATCAGGATATAAAATCAATGTAAAGAAATCAGTTGTATTTCTATACAACAACAAAACAGAAAAAAGAAAAATTAAGGAGTTGATTTCATTTACAACTGCACCCAAAACTGTAATATACCTAGGAATAAATTTAACCAAAGAGGCAAAGAATCTGTAGTCAGAAAACTATAGAATACTCATGAAAGAAATTGAGGAAGACAATAAGAAATGGGAAAACGTTCCATGTTCATGGATTGGAAGAATAAATATTGTGAAAATGTCTACGCTACCTAGAGCAATCTACATGTTTAATGCAATCCTTACCAAAATACCACCAACTTTTTTCAAAGAAATGGAACAAATAATCTTAAAATTTAAATAGAACCAGAAAAGACCCCAAATATCCAGAAGAATGTTGAAAAAGAAAACCAAAGCTGGCAGCGTCACAATTCTAGACTTCAAGTTCTATCACAAAGCTGTCATCATCAAAACAGTATGGTACTGGCACAAAAACAGACACACAGATCAATGGAACAGACTAGAGAGCCCAGAAATGGACCGTCAAATCTATGGTAAACCAAACTTCAGCAAAGCAGGAAAGAATGTCCAATAGAAAAAAGACAGTCTCTTCAACAAATGATGTTGCAGAAATTGGGACAGCCACATGTGGAAGAATGAAACTGGACCACTTCCTTATACCACGCACAAAAACAGACTCAAAGTGGACAAAAGACCTGAACATGAGACAGGGATTCATCAAAATCCTTGAGGAGAACACAGGCAGCAACCTCTTTGACCTCAGCTCCAACAACTTTTTCCTAGACACATCGCTAAAGACAAGGGAAGCAAGGGCAAAAATGAACAACTGGGACTTCATCAAGATAAAAAGCTTTTGCACAGAAAAGGAAACAATCAACAAAACCAAAAGACAAATGACAGAATAGGAAAAGACATTTGCAAATGACATATCAGATAAAGGGCTACTATCCAAAGTATCCAAAGCTATAAGGAACTTATCAAACTCAACAGCCAAAGAACAAATAATCCAATCAAGAAATGGGAAGAGGACATGAACAGACATTTCTGCAAAGAAGACATCCAAATGACCAATGGACACATGAAAAAGTGCTCTGTCACCCCCACCACCCATCCCTATTTCTCTGTTCCCTCTCTCTCTTAAATACATAAATAAAATCTTTTTAAAAAAAGAAAAGAAAACATCTAACAATTACCTCAAAAATTGCAGAAATGTTCTCCCCTCCTCTCTCTCACACACATACAAAATGGCAAAGGTTTTAATTTTGTGACAACGATCAGTAAAAATTTTAGCAGATTTTTAGAGAAGAATTAACTATTTGTTAAACCATTATACTATTAAGGAAATGAAAAAGACTTTTTGTTTGACTTCTTTAAACTGTATCTACCTGAAATGCTATTTTTTAATTTTTCTTAAGAATATCCCTTAAAGCAAGTATAGTAAGTAATGCTAGATATAAGGTACAAGTATGACATGATCTTTAAAGTTCCCCCACATGTAATTTTCTTTAATCCTATACATATACATTTAACTTCCTGTATTTTCTTTTTTTAGTTTTTATTTCAATCCAATTAATTAACATACAGTGTGATATTAGTTTCAGGTGCATTTTTGCTACACTATTCAATTACATTCTCATTTAAATTATTTCAGCAAATGTAGAAAAACAGGTAAGTTTAATCAATTGTGCTTACATGTTTTGGGATTCCTGGTTTACCGAAGAAACAGAATCCAAACCCTTTACTGGAGTAGGAATTCTTTCAGATAGCAAACTTGTCTAAAATACAACAGATTACATTATTTTTTATTGACAGCATTATTCATAAGATCTCATGATACATTTTTACACTCGATCCTTAATATAATTAAAATTAAATTACCTTCAAATTTTAAGTTATTTGGTTTTTAATTAAGTATCATCTAAAATTATTTTTAAATGAAGTATATAAATGTGGGGAAAAAAGGCTTAGTACTGAAACATACTACATTTGACTCTTGCTACATTATAATCTCTAGTGTCCATAACAAAGCCCCAGCTGTCCGTAAAAATCGCTCAGAATTAGCTTCCGAAAAAGAATGTAGGTTTATACAAAGATAATTATCTAACGTCTCTCCTACCAGAAGAAAAGACTTTGAAGTGCCCAGTTTGGTCCTAGAACTCTGCCCTCGTAGGAAATGAGGTGAAGTCATCCTGTACCAAATTAAAAAGCATTATGTTCCCTAGAGCACTGTGATGCTAAGAAAATCATATTTGCCCCAGTAAAAGATTTAAACTGCATTACAATAGTGACTATATTTGAAATAAAGATTTGCAGAGAGGAAAAAAAGATTGAAATTTCTTACCTTCTTCCATGCCTTTGCTATAGACTCATGCAAACAATAAGGAATTAACACTTGTAAGCCTTCACATGTACCATATATTTGACGACACACAGAAATAAAAGCTCCTTTAACCACAGGCAACATTTCCGATCCAGAAAAAATAGAAATATCTTCATCAAGAAGTTTTTTCGAAAATTGGGCAATTATATGAGCACCTGTAGGGCTAAAACACGACAGACTAAAAGTGATTCCAAGGTTATAAATCATAACCTCTTAAAGTACTACCAAAAAGTCCAGCCATATCACAAACTGCATTTGCTTGGCTCCTCTTTAGTTCTCTAGCTGTTCTCTAACATGTCAACATTCCTGTTCCCACACATGTACAAATAACTGTCTAATAAGGAGAGCAGTTTCAGGAGACAAGAGGAAGGAATACACAGATAGAAAAAAGCAAAATTATACACTTAAAAAGCTATAGACATCATGGGCCCAGGGCCATACGTAACTTCACTTGATTGTAGTAAAAACATAATTCTGAGCTCCCATGTCATTAATAGGATGTAGCTCCTTTATTTCAGAGACTGGGACACTTTAACAGTAATAATAAGAAAATCATAGTAAATACTTAATATTCCAGGCATTGTTCTAAGTATTTTAGATGTATTAACTCATTTAATCCTTACACTAACCCTATGAAGTAGATATATTCTTCATTTTTTAAACAGGTAACATAGTTAAAGCTTACAGGACTTAAATAACTTTAAAAATATCATATAGCTAGTAAGAAGTGGAGCCTGGACTCAAACCCAGCGTATCTAGCTCCAGAGCAGCACACGTTACAATCAGCTGTGGATAGGACAGGATTCTGACTCTCCATGTATCCCTCCACCCATCTTCCATAGTTCCTACATTTTACCAGTCTTGTTTTATCTATTCCCTGACCTTTGCCTCTACCCACCTCTACTGCAATATTATAGGTTAAATGTCAGACAGTGATTAAGGTTTCTATGTTACATGCCAATACCCCAACTAACAAAACTATAATTTTTAATATTATCCGATAATTCACCCATATCAAGATTCTCCTGATTAGGTACTCCTTATAATAGATTTGTATAAATCAAAATTCAAACAAGTTTCACAGAGTACATTAAGTTACTGTGATCATTTAGGCCCCCTATTTTCTTTCATAACCATGCCATTAATTTGGAGAAGTGATGTATTTCTCCTATCCATTCTTTATTTGCATAATTGCTTCACCATGCTGTCATTTAATATGTTCCTCTACTTTTCCATATTTCCTATAAATTGATAATTATATCTAGAGGTTTAAAGTTCAATTTCTTTTATCTTGGCCAAACAACTTCATCACTGGTTGCTATTGTGTACCTCCTACTGCATCATTTCATTAGATACAGATCTGGTTGTCCCACTTTTAATAGTACTAAAAAATCAGCTGGTCAGATGATATGAGCCTGAACTCTCCAGTGGGAAGTTCTCCCCACATCAAGCCTTTTTACCTAATGGTTTTAGCACCAATTCATGATAATTTCCTAAATCAACTATTTCATTAGGAGTTACCAAATGATGATTTTTAATTTTTTCTATAAAGAACTTTATCCTCAGTAACTTAAGAGTTATATTAAAATACAGTTTGTACAGGGGCACCTGGGTGGCATAGTCAGTTGTGTCCTACTCTTGGTTTCAGCTCAGGTCAGGAGACAGAACCCTGCGCTGTGCTCCAAGCTCAGCACAGGCTCAGCCTCAGATTCTCTCTCACTCTCTCACTCTGCTCCTCCCACTCATACTCATGTTGCACACTCACTCTAATCACCAAAAACCTTTTAAAAAATAGAGTTTGACAGGAAATTGAAAAAAAGAATCTGAACATTTTTAATCAATTTGAAAAATGATGAGTCGGTGTCCACAACCTCAATGGGTAACTGACAAGGTTTTGGGTTTTTTTTTTTAATTTTAGTGTATTTTTAAAATCATTTTTGTATGCTTTATGTATGTCAATCATTAAAGTCTTTTTTTTTTTTTAAGATTGATTTATTTATTTGACAGAGAGAGACACAGCAAAAGAGAGAACACAGGCAGAAGGAGTGCAAGAGGAAGAAGCAGGCTTCCTGCCAAGCGGGGAGCCCGATGCAGGGCTCAATCCCAGGACTCTGGAATCATGATCCGAGCCGAAGACTGAGCCACCCAGGCGCCCCTAAAGTCATTTTTTAATCCTCAAATTATCCACTTTAAACCAGTAGGAGGCCCCTTCTGGTAGCCTGGGGTACTTTTGACACTATGTCTTTAGTCTTAGATAATTTCCTTACTTTCTAGAATGGTAAGATATCTCGGGATCACCTTGCATATTTCCCAGCCCAATCCAGAAACAACTACCTTCAAGGATCCCTTCCTCCTTTTGCAAAATAAAACAACAATAACAAAAATTTAGATATTTAGAGACCACAACCTTGGCGCCAACTCATTGCTAAGGGGTTGTCATTATTTGTAGGTCTCTTTAGTGGTAGTTCTGCATAAGAAAAATAAAGTAATACTTATATTTCCATTATGAATTTGAAATTCAAGTTTAACTTCTTTAATTCTCTATTCTAATTCCTTATGATGCTCATTATTTATTTGCTTTATTTTAGAGTATGTTCATAATAGTTTCAAAACATACTGATAGCAGTTTAAGATTACTTTAAGAATTTTTTCTTTCAACCTTATGATGTATCCCACTAGAAATGTTCAAATCAGGTCACTTGAGGTAATTCTTTCCTCTGCATGGGTAGGTCACTAACTTGCTTGGTGGTTAAATTCAATTATTCCTATTCGTCCGAATTTCTTTGAAATGTGAATTTTTCTTTTTTATTTAACTATTACATTTAGCATGTAAAACAGCTACATGATTCTAAAGTCAAATTTAGGTACAATGGAGGTATAACCCATATATCTTCCATCTCTACTTCCCTATCCACATGTTCTTCTCTCTTCCTCTAAAACTTCTTTTTCAGTTTACCCTTTTACCACTCCTTTTGAAAAATATCAGTATTTTATTTATTCATATTCCCTTCCATTATATAAAAGGTAGCATTCTAAAACATCCTTTAGTGTTTCATTTGCTCACTTAGATATCCTGAAGATAACTCCGCATCAATACATATAAAAATTCCATGTTCCCATTGCACAGCTGCTAAGTGCTCCTTTGTGCAAACACAATTTAATCAATCAGCCTCTTGTTATTGGAAATTTGAGATGATTCCTATCTTTTACCAATATAAATAATTAATCAGAAACAACCATAGCACAATGGTGATTCAAAAGAAACTGATAGTTAATGTCTTATCTGTTTAATGTAATCTGTCTAATCTGTTCAAGGTAAGGGAACCTAATGAATCGTTGAACACATCAAAAACTAATAATGTACTGTAAGTTGGCTAACTAAAACATAATAAAAAATTTTTTAAATTTTTAAAAATTAAAAACAGAATAAATCCCACTTGGTCGTGGAGAATAATCCTTTTAATGTACTGTTGAATCCTATTGGCTAGTATTTTGGTGAGAATTTTCGCATCTGTGTTCATCAAGGATATTGGGATTTATTCCAGGGCTGTAAGGTTGGTTCAACATCCGCAAATCAATCAATGTGATACAACACATTAATAAAAGAAAGAACAAGAACCATATGATACTCTCAATAGATGATGAAAAAGCACTTGACAAAGTACAGCACCCCTTCCTGATCAAAACTCTTCAAAGTGTAGGGATAGAGGGCACATACCTCAATATTATCAAAGCCATCTATGAAAAACCCACCGCAAATATCATTCTCAATGGAGAAAAACTGAAAGCTTTTCCGCTAAGGTCAGGAACACGGCAGGGATGTCCGTTATCACCACTGCTATTCAACATAGTACTAGAAGTCCTAGCCTCAGCAATCAGACAACAAAAGGAAATTAAAGGCATCCAAATCGGCAAAGAAGAAGTCAAACTATCACTCTTTGCAGATGATATGATACTATATGTGGAAAACTCAAAAGACTCCACTCCAAAACTGCTAGAAGTTGTACAGGAATTCAGTAAAGTGTCAGGATATAAAATCAAGGCACAGAAATCAGTTGCATTCCTCTACACCAACAACAAGACAGAAGAAAGAGAAATTAAGGAGTCAATCCCATTTATAATTGCACCCAAAACTATAAGATACCTAGGAATAAACCTAACCAAAGAGGCTAAGAATCTATACTCAGAAAACTATAAAGTACTCATGAAAGAAATTGAGGAAGACACAAAGAAATGGAAAAATGTTCCATGCTCCTGGATTGGAAGAATAAATATTGTGAAAATGTCTATGCTACCTAAAGCAGTCTACACATTTAATGCAATTCCTATCAAAGTACCACCCATTTTTTTCAAAGAAATGGAACAAATAATCCTAAAATTTATATGCAACCAGAAAAGACCTCGAATAGCCAAAGGAATATTGAAAAAGAAAGCCAAAGTCGGTGGCATCACAATTCCGGACTTCAAGCTCTATTAAAAAGCTGTCATCATCAAGACAGCATGGTACTGGCACAAAAACAGACACATAGATCAATGGAACAGAATAGAGAGCCCAGAAATAGACCCTCAACTCTATGGTCAACTCATCTTCAACAAAGCAGGAAAGAATGTCCAATGGAAAAAAGATAGCCTCTTCAATAAATGGTGTTGGGAAAACTGGACGGCCACATGCAGAAAAATGAAATTGGACCATTTCCTTACACCACACACGAAAATAGACTCAAAATGGATGAAGGACCTCAATGTGAGAAAGGAATCCATCAAAATCCTTGAGGAGAACACAGGCAGCAACCTCTTCGACCTCAGCCGCAGCAACATCTTCCTAGGAACATCGCCAAAGGCAAGGGAAGCAAGGGCAAAAATGAACTATTGGGATTTTATCAAGATCAAAAGCTTTTGCACAGCAAAGGAAACAGTTAACAAAACCAAAAGACAACTGACAGAATGGGAGAAGATATTTGCAAATGACATATCGGATAAAGGGCTAGTGTCCAAAATCTATAAAGAACTTAGCAAACTCAACACCCAAAGAACAAATAATCCAATCAAGAAATGGGCAGAGGACATGAACAGACATTTCTGCAAAGAAGAC